CAGGACAGCCAAGGTCTTTGACATGCTGCATCAGCATGGGAGACCAAAAGGATGATCCTGCCTCCTGGCTTCAGATCAGCTCGGTTCCAGCCATGGTGGCCTTTTGGGGAGTCAATCAGCAGACACAAGATCTTCCTCTCTGTATCTCTTCCTCTCTGTATCTTTGACTTTCCAATAAATAACAAATACATCTTTTAAAAAAATAGTTTACTTGGAGACAGGCTTCCATACACAACCCATTTTGAAAATCTGTGTCATGCAATGCCAGTAGTCATCAGGGAAATGTCAGTGAAAATGACAATGAAATGCTACTTAAGTTGCACAAAATGGCTAAAAGATCTGAGACATGGTGCAATGGCTCATTGGCTAACTCCTTGCCTTGCATGCTCCAGAATGCCTATCAGGCACCAGTTCATGTCCCAGGTGCTCCACTTCCCATCCAGCTCTCTGTTTATAGCCTGGCACAACAGCAGAGGATGGCCCAAAACCTTGGGGCCATGTACCTGCATGGGAGACCTGGCAGAAGCTTCTGCCTCCTGGCTTCAGATCTGCTCAGCACAGCCATTGCAGCCACTTGGAGAGAGAACCAAGAGATAAAGGATCTTCCAGTCTATCGTTCTCTCTGTAAACCTCCCTCTCCTATAAAAGCACACACATATTTGAAAAATAAATAAATATAAAGGAGAGCATCTAATACAACCAAGCGTTGATAACAAGAGACAGAAATTGGAGCTGTCACACTTTGTGGCACAGCTAACTTAAAAATGATACACCCCATCTACAAAACCTTCTAGTAAGCTCATTTCTTAACAAGCTGTCATCTCAGGGCATGACATGATATTCAAGTGGCTAAATTCTCATTTTAACATGACTAGGATCCCAAAAATGTGACAGCCAGCTCCCCACTTGTGATCTGCTGAACAGCTGAGGATGGCCCAAATCCTTGGAAGCCTGTGCCTGCGTGGGAAACTCTGAAAAAGCTCCTGGCTCCTGGCTTCAGTACGGCTTAGGCAATGTGGCCGCTTGGGAAGTAAACCAGCAGGGGAAAGATCTTTCTCTTTGGATCTGCTTCTCTTTGTATGCTTTAACAAAATCAATTTTAAAATCTTTTTAAAAAGTTATTTCTTTGAAGATCCTGTGTGGTAGCCGGGTGGCTAAAATCCTCACCTTGCATTCTCCGGGATCCATATGAACATCTGTTCTAGTCCTGCTGGCCCCACCTGCACCCAGGCTCCCTGCCTGTGGCCTGGGAAAGCAGTAGAGGACAGCTCAAAGCCTCGGGACAATGCACCAGAATAAGAGAACCAGAAGAGTCCCCAGGCTCCTCCTGGCTTTGGATCGTCTCGGCTCTGGACATTTGGCCACTTGGGCCATCAAGCATGGCAGGGAAGATCTTCCTTTCTGTCTCTCCTCCTCTCTGTATATCTGACTTTATCATAAAAATACATAAATCTTTTCCAAAAAGATTTTTGTTGGAAAGGCAGGGTTACCGGCGAATGAAGAGAGACAGAGATCATTCATCCACTGGTTCACTCCAAAAATCACTACAATGGCTGCAGCTGGATTGGTCTGAAATCAGGAGTTAGCAGCTTGAACCAGCACCCATATGTGATGCCAGTACCACAGCAAACAGCTTTACCTGCTAAGTCACAGCACTGGTACCCCTACTAGAGTCTTATAAGCCTGTATACCTACACTACAACCCTGCACGTCTGCATTTCTGTGTGCAAGTAAGAGAAAAACATATATTCAGAAAGTCAAGGGTAACTAGAGCACCTTCATATAAGTCTCAGAATGGACAGCTCTGGAATCTCTCCGTAACTGGATATTTTAAATCACTGGTGTATTTGTGCAATGGATTTGTATTTTGCAACAAGAGGGGCTCGTGTTAAAGGTTAGCTTCTGCCTGCAATGGCAACATCCCATGTGAGTGCTCGTTCAAACCTTTACCTTGCCCCTTCCAATCCAACTCCCTGCTACTGTATCTGGCAAGGCAATAGGGGATGGCTCAAGTGCCTGGAGCCCTGTGACCTCATGCGACTTGGATGATGAAGATCCAAGCTCTTGTGTGGGGCTGGTGCAATGGAGTCATCTGGGCCAAGTGGAGAGTCAAACAACACATGGAAGATTCTGCCTCCTCCCAGCCTCCTAACCCTGTGTGTGTGTGTGTGTGTGTGTGTGTGTGTGTGTGTGTGTGTATGTGTTTTAATTCTGCCTTTCAAATAAAGAAGCAAATCTTTTTAAAAACATTGACACGGAAAGAATACAAACTGCTGATTCATGAAGACTAGATGCACCTTTTTGGTAAAGGTGGCATTTTTCAAAGATCTATGTATATTTGAAAGGCAAAGTGACAGCAAGCAAGGGGAGCAGAGGGAGAGAAAGACAGATCCTCCATCCACTGGTTCCCACTCTCCAAATGCCTATGCCAGCTGGGGCTGGGCTAGGACACAGCCAGGAGCCCAGAATGCCATGTGCGTCCCTGACTTTGGTAGCAGGGACCCAGGGACGCAGACCAGCAGCTACTGCCTTTCTCACTGCAACAGCAGGCAGCAGAATAAGAAACACAACAACCAGAACTCACACAGAACGACACTATGACATGTGGCCCTTCAGATCCACTCAGCCCCAACCATTGTGGCCACTTGGGCAATGAACCGGCAAATGGGACACCTTTCTCTCTGTATCTCCTTCTCTCTGTAAATCTGACATGCCAATAAAAATCAGTAAAGCTACATAAAAATAAATAAAGCTGTAGTAACTAAAACCACATGGCACTGGCATGTCCAATGCAACAGAACAGATACCCACAAATTCAGCTATGTGCTCACAAGTGGTTGCTTTCTGACAAAAGTACTTAGAACATATATCTGGAACAAACAAACAAACAAACAAAACAAATATTACTCTCTATCCCTAACTTCAGAGAAACCTTGTGGGGGTCCTTTGATTCAAGCAGAAGGTTTTTTGAAATAAATCACTCAAAACTGTCTCCAGCTCTGATTGGACCATGTCCTGCTCTGACATCATACAGAACCATTTACAGGTCACAATTCCAAAGCCCTAGATAAAGCCCTGGCCGGGCCTGGGCCTTTTGTCCAGGAGCTCTCTCCACTGGAGAGCTCTAGGACCAGCACTAAGCTAGCTTTTTTTTTTTTAAACCTCTTTTGTTTGTGCCTGTTTTGTTTATTTGTTCTCTTTTCTAATTTATTCATTTTGTTCTTCCCTCTTAATTTCAGTTTCTATTTCGCAGTGTGTATTTCTTTTCCTTAGACACATCCTCATTCCTTCTCAAAATTTTTGAAATTTGTTTTGCCGCTTAGTTTTTATTTCCAGCATTTTATTTGTTTACATTTTTTTTACATTTTTAAAACTTTTAATTTTCATTTCTATTTGTGTTCCATTTTGCATTTTCTGTTCTCTTCTTGCAATTTTCATTTTTCCGTTAATTTATTTTTAAGGTTTATTTCTTTCTTTCAGATTTACATTTTTTTTTAAATGAGAAGTGAGGAAGTGTCTAAGGAGAAGATGGAGAGACCTATAACGTCTAGCATCATGTTATTCTTAACACCTATTTTGCACAAGGTATCTATTCTCTTTAGTAATATTTTTGATACCTTCATTACTGCAATATTTAAAAAATCTTTTACACCATCATGTTGTTCTTAACACAACTATTTTGTTCTATGGTATCTTTTCTCATTAATCATATTTTTGATACCTTTATCGCTGGAATATTTTAAAAAATCCTTTACACCATCATGATATTTTTAACACCTACTTTATGGTATCTTTCCTCAATATTGATATTTATGATACCTTTATCACTGGAATATCTAAAAAATTTTTTACACCATCATGTTGTTCTTAACACAACTATTTTGTTCTATGGTATCTTTTCTCATTATTAAGATTTTTGATACCTTTATCGCTAGAATATTTCAAAGCTGTTTTACACCATCACGTTATTTTTAACACCTATTTTGTACTATGGTATATTTTCTCATTATTAATATTTTTGATACCTTTATCGCTAGAATATTTTTAAATGTTTTATATTTGAGCAATATTAGCATAATAAGCATTGTTTATGGACGTTGGCCTTATACTCATCCTACGTGATGAGTTGGCGTGAACACTGCTCCACTGAGCAGTGAGTGGGTACCACAATGGAGAAAAAGATCAGCAATGGACTCCACATCCTCAGCACGACCAGTCAGCACAGGTACAACGGGCAACACTGGCCCACCGCATAGAAAGCAGCAACCAAGTAGCCACGTAAGTCACCCCAAGAACCAACAAGGATTCCAGGCTCCCAGCTTACGGCAAGTGGAGGTACAGGGCTTAGGCTCACACACCTGAGTTGGGGGTGAGACATCCCTTTAAAGTAGAAGAAGCAGAGAATTGCTCTCCTAGCATCTATGCCTGTCTGGCTCAGACACCTCATGCCTTCAGGACTACCTCTTGCACAGAAACGAAGGGGCCAGCAATAGGGATACAAGCCAGCACGAACATGTTACTGACTTGGATCTTAGGTTTCTTCAGCCTCTACATGCATTTTTGACCCTTTTCCCCAGAATAAGCTGCACTTCTCTGGGAATTAGGTTAGCACAGGGAGAGTCTGGTTGCATCAGTAGAGGCACATCAAGGAGAGTTCATGATTTTGCACAGTTATTCTGAGCTTTTATCTGTATTTGGCTCAGCATCTATTAACTGAAACACTGCTGACTTTTAAGGGGAAATTCTTTCTTGGCCCAATACCTTACAGTTTTGTACCCTACTTCCTACTCATTATGGACACATGACACTCTGCACTAAAATCTCTACACAACAAAAACCAGAAATGTTCACGAAACATTGCAACGCATGTACATGTCCAAGTGCCCTACACGTCAGAAACCTCCACCGAGCTGACAACCATGGAGATGTCTTAAGTTTATATCATGGTGTGCACCCTTCCATAGCTCAGCCTGTAGAGTGGAGGACTGTAGAGTAGAAGTTTATATCATCATGGTTTCCTAACACAGTTTTAGACTCACACACACTCAGAGGGAGATTCACTTGGAACAGTGTTACCACAAGCCTGCTCTTCCTCCTCAAGTTGGTCAGTCTTGTGAAATCAGTGTTCTCTTCTTCCATCAGGAACTATCACATCTTGCGTGGATTGGCATATTTCCTCTCCTGATGTTGTTTAACTGCAGAGACTCAAACCCAAATATCCCTCTATAGAAGGATTCTTCTGCTCTCACTGGATTGTCTCCTCATTGGACCTAACAACACTCAGCCATAAGTATGCTTGAAACAACTGCATCATACATCTTTACCTGAACACCTAATGCCACAGAGTAAGTGTCCACGCTTTCACTGGCTTCCTGAGTGTGTATTTTCCAGGCATGATAGCAAAGAAAGTCAGCTTCTGGTGAAGAGTCAGGCTATGTGCAGCACTCTTTGCTAGGCAGCCTGAGCTGGCTGCACCTGCTGCTCAGCTGAACACCAAGTTGGGCCAGACCTAAATGTACAAGAACGCCAAGCGTTCTCCTCACGCAGGCATTTCATCCTCTGTGTTCTGTCAATTAAACCTCACTTGAGGTGCAATAAAGCTAGATGCTTCAACGTTTCTATAAAGATCATGTCAGTTGTCCCCTAAGTAGCAACATTTTTTACACTACACTACTGTGACACCTTGGTTGAGAAATAGTGCTGAGTTTTATATGGCTTAGTTGTGAAGGATCCCAACCAGAACTGGAATCATTGGGTAGCTGGAAGGACCTAACCTGAATGGAGTCATTCATCTGAAGGCAAATGCCAGTTAGTGCTAACAGGACGATGTTAGTGAGCTCCTCAGTCACTAGTTTAAACCTTTACAGATCTACTTCAACTCAGAAAGAACTTCATCATCTTTGAAGTGCACAATCTATTTCCTGCTCCATTCCTTCTCTCGCTTCTCCTGGCACAGAGGGTGCCTGCCTGTTATTTCAAGGGCATTCCCAAACATTTGCCATCAGAAGATTCCTGAATGGCTCTTCTGGAGGACTCCAGATGACCAGGTTCCTCCAAATGTGCAACACACACACACACACACACACACACACACACACACACACACACGTAGATAACTAAACGATTTCTTCTTTTAAAAACATGTTGATAATTGGATTACTTGGAGAAGTTGCAAAATGGATATTTTGTGCACCGTGTCCTTATGACCATTTTGTTTGTACTGGGTGAACAACCAATACAAAGTGTTGGGGGATGGGAGAAGCCCACAGAAATTTTCACACGTAAAATTGAAGGAGTTGATTACTGTCATTTTGATCATGTGCCTTTTACACATCTGCAGCCCTTAACGAAGACTTTATGGATTGGAGCATGAGCACTTTAAAGCGATGTAAAATTATGGAGGAGCTACAAAGCTTATAAAGTGCTTCAATGTTACCAATCAGAGCAGTAGTGGAACCATTCCGAGGAGCTTGTAATACCATGCACAGCCTGCTCATCATCAGCCCAGGTGTCACTCCTGGGCACGTGGGGCTTCCAGCATTCCTGCCCAGAGACTCTCCATCACGAAAAGCAGAGGAGCCACTGCTGAGGAGCCGGGAGAGTTTCGGCAGTGCTGGCAAGCTCAAAAGCAGGCTTCCCGGAAGGGACTGCAAAAAGTCTGTGTGATGTGAATTTATGGTGAGTATTCTTGTTGGTGCACTTTCTCATTTTTGATTCTTGTATACGATGAGTCTAAAAAGTCCACACAAGAATTTATGTATTATTCCCAGAGCCCCCGCAGGCCGAACTGGTACCTGGGTCTGCAGCCGAAGAGGCACAGAGCTGTGCCACGAGGCCAGAGCTGTGTGGGAGCATTGGCACTGCCCACCTTTAGACCAGGGTTTCTGCCATGGCCTTGGCATGAGCAGAGCTGGAGGAGGAGGAGGTGGGGCTGGCTCTGAAGCCAGATCCGGATCCTCTAGAGTGTGCTTGGGCAGGCCAGAGTCTGCTGTGCCTAGAGAGGAGCACCTACCACCAGGCCTCCTCCATCGAACTGCAACAGTGCACCTGATAAGATGCCCATGTCAGATCCTTACCTGCTCAGAGAAGTAAACTGGAGTCAGAACACAGCTACAGTGTCTCCACCCATCTCCCCCACACATCCTGAACAAGGCTTCCTGTGAGGCCTCTTTCTACTGCTCACTTCAATACAGGGGTTTTGCTTTGTTTCATTTTGTTTTGTTTTGTTTTGTTTTTAAGGTATTGGGCCAGCTAATGGAGACTGGAATCATCAATCCTGAACAGTGTATGACATCTTTTGAGCATATGAAGAAATCTGGCGACTATTAGGTTACAGTTGTAGAACATGTGACTATTGGATAGATTGTTGCTACGGCAACTCTGAGACTAGAACTTACATTCATCCATTCCTGTGCTGAGAGAGGTAGAGTAGATGATGAGGTTTTTAGTGATGAATGCTGAGCGAAGCAGCTCTTCAAACTGCTAGTAACAACCCTGACATTGCTAAGCAAGAAACGAAACGGTTCCAAGATTAGCCTTGAATGTCTACCACAAAATGTTGACTTCCACAAAAGGTGGATATGCAGTATCTGAAGAAAATTACACGTGTGGTAGTTTTCTGAAGTAAAAATCTTATGGGAAGAGAATTCACACACGCATCAATTCTACAAAACTGTGCTCTTCACTGAGAAAACTTTGTTGCTGCAAGCCTCTGACCCCCATAAATACCGAACTGACATTTAGAAGATATAATGTATGTTGTATATATCATATACAGGAATAGTATAATGACATTTAGACGATTACTTTGGAATGGTGGGGCATACTGATTGAGTTCAGATTACAAATGAAAATTACAAATGTGTTGATTTTACCAAAGAAATATACTTTCAACTGGAATCTTGCCTTCCATTGTATTTTTTGAAGTCTGGCTTCATTTTGTAGTAGTCAAATTGGTCATAAGTTCATCGATGTCTGCTCTCTGTACTGCTCACCTCCCAAAGAGCTTGTATCACTAGACAAGTTGCCACAAGGGCTGCAGGTAAGCCAGCTCGAGTCCAGGAACCAGGAGCTTCTTCCAGGTCTCCCAGGTGGGCACATTCTCCCAAGGCTTTTGGGCCATCCTCTACTGTAGCAGGAAGGGAATTGGAGCAGCCAGATACAAGGCAATACACATGTGGGATCCCGGTGGTAGCAAGCAACAATTGTAGCCATGTATACAGCAACAGGCCTCTTAAGCAATGCCATATTTTTGCTTTCCATTTCTTTTCACTGTATCTGCTGGGAGGGGAGGACACCAGGGTAGAAGCCACACCCAGCACCCAAATTGCCACAGAACCCAGCAATCAGGAATGGCCACACAGTGTCGACCCACAGTCCCAATGCGGTATATGCGCTGAGGGTTCTGTTCAGAAGATGTCGAGAGCTCTGCAATATTGTCAGTCTCCTGATCTGAGAATGAGGGAACACTTTCAATGTCCACTGGCTGACACACTCCACCACTGACTCTCCATTCACCCAGATATTTGCTGCCTTATTTGGGCTGGGCTAGTTGTTCAATCTGTTCTGTTCTTCCTCTGCTATGTGGCAGATGTCCTTTGAAAGCCCAATAGGCTGCCTTAATCTTTAAGTGGATCTGGCACAGCCGCCTACCACACTGTCGTTTATACTGATGAGGACTAGTTCTCCCATGTGCACACAAGGTCCAGAGCCTAGCAACGTGGACCCTGCCAGACCCACTGCCACAGCTGCTAACAGATCTAGCAAGCTGGATCTAGCAGGTGGGTCAGGTAACCAGGCAGGCACCTTGGACCCCGTGGGACCACCTATCCTGGATTTCACGGACCCAGTACCCACTGTCCTTAGCCTAGCATGGATCACCACACTTCAGCTTCCACCAGCACGTGCTTCAGCCTGGCTCACTCAAGCCTGCCCCAAGTCCCAGCCTCTGCTGAGCGAGATGCAGCCTGACCTGGCTCAGCCAGCTCCCTGTCCCAGCCCTGGTGTGAGTGGGTTGGTTGCAGCCTGACCCGACCCCTCATGTGACCTGTCCTCTTCTGCCAGTGGTTCCTATTGAACTGGCCTAGCCCTGTCCATCTGCCCCAGACATGACCCACATGTACAATGCCCAATACTGTAGCCTATTCTGATTTGGAATGCCCCTTGCCTTGCTTTCTGCACTCAACTGCAGGGCCTCTGTCCTCACAAAGCAATTCCACAAGCTCTTCTATCAGGTCACCTCTCTGTGCCAAATGTGGCATGCAACAGTGGTCCTTAGTTCAGGTTGCCTTTGTCCACATCCTCTCCTGACACCAACACTGCCCCTGAACAACTGCTACATACTCAATCTGGTTCTTACCGGTGAAACCTGTATCTTCATATCTTAATTGCTAGGCTAAACACTTGTCCCTACGTTTAGCTTGTAATGTCACTTTCCATGAAGCTTTGGAAGTACATTCATTTTCATTTCTTGCCTTTGCTTTCATGTTCAAAGATTGGTTAAAACACACACACACACAAACACACAAACACACACATATACACATGGTAGAGGGAGAGAAAGATCTCAGAAAGGACATTGAGGATGGGTCAGGACAAAGTCAGAAGCCAGGAAATTATTCCCACATACAACTACAGGTGTCGTCTCCTGCTGCCGCCTAGGCTGCTCATCACCAGGAAGCTGGGATCAGAAGCAAAGTTCGGGACTTGGACACAAGCACTTGGATGCAGTGCACTCATCGCAATCAGCATCTTACCACAGTGCCAGCACCTGCCCCTGTTATTAGGCTATGCATCGTCTGAAACAAACACTAGCACACTGACTTTGAGAACTTGGTGGGCACCAGGGCAATGGAGAGGAGGTAGGATGAATGTGGGCAAGGTGGCTGTGTCATTGCAAATGGAGACACACAAAGATGACAGCTGCTGAAAAGCAGGTGCTTTTAACAGAGGCTGCAACTTTGCCAGCACCTATTCTGCCATTTCTTTTTGCCTAACCAGTAGTTCATATTTGGGCTGCTGAGCTTTGGTTTGTATGTTTTATAGCAACAGCAAGCCCTGCATCTGTGAAACAGGAAAAATGAAACTTTTGAAATGTAAAATGACCACGTGCCTTGTCATGTGTCATTGCACTACAGCTCAGGCATCACTGACCTTTTCTCATGGATTTATACAGCTCAGATCTGTCCCAAAGTGACTCCTTTCTGGGATGCCTACAAGTGCACAGCATGCCGAGTCCATACAATTGGAGTTACTTCAGGAAGGAGAGGGCAGTCTTAAATCTGAACAGTTTCAAATGCACAAAAGTCATTTCAATCGCAAAGCACAAACAGTTCTCAGAGGGTGTGTGAATGTCTGGAAGCACTGTGTTTCTGGAAATGTTTGATTTGTGTTGTAGCCTCACACAGGTGATTCTTGCCTGAGCCGAGGTCAGGGTCCACCTATCCAGGATTCCCATCTCACCTACCTGCTTTTCCCTAGCATGTGTCTCACTCAGTCCACTCAACAGCACGGTAGGTGAGTTTGAAAATTTCAAGGATTTGGAGAAATTAATGTTATAGGATCTCTTGAAGATAGTTTAAAGAAAAAAGACCTACACTATCCTGAAGTTTATGCTCTACAAAGATAGTACTTTCATTGAAATGTGTTGATAGAATTTGAGTGCCCACCACTCAAACATTGAAGGGGGTGCTACACATTTCTTCCCTCTAGTGCTCTTGGTCCATTTCTCTGTGATGTCAATGTTAACACCTCAACTCTGAAGCAAGTCTGACCCTGACAGGGTACAATGCTTCAGAGAAAACACTGAGAAGGGAAGAACACCGGTATATTCCATTTGTTCAAGGACAACAATGGGAACATTGTGCCATTGTAAGATCAAAGCTCCCTAACAAATTCATTTCCTCCCTTCCTCATCTTTCTCCCATTTTTGTCTCCTTAAATAACTCACCCATTATTAAAACAAACTAAACTGGAGCTGGCCTTGCAGCTTAGTGTGTTAGGCTGCCAGCTCTAATGCTATCCTCCCTTACCAGCACACGCTCAAGTCCTGGCTGCTTCACTTCCAATCTCCTAATGCACCAACAGGAAAGCAGCAGAGGATGGCACAAATACGTGGGCCCCCACATCCTAATGGGAGACCTGGAGGAGGCTCCTGGATTCTGGCACTGGTGTACCCTGCCTCAGCTTGCTGTCTCTCACTCTCTCTCTCTCTCCCATTTTTTCTCTCCCTCTTTCTCTCCCTCCCTCTTTCTCTCTCTCTCCCTCTCCCATTCTCTAACACACTTGTCTCTCTCTTTCTCCCACTCTATAACCCTCATTCTCTCTCTCTCTCTCTCTCTCTCTCTCTCTCTCTCTCTCTCTCCCTCTCAAATGCCCTCTCTCTTTCTCTTCCTGCTAACCCCCACTCTCTCTTTCTCTCCATGCCTCCCTTGCCTCCCCCATTTCCACACTCTGTAGCTCTATTTCTCAAACAGAAATAAAAGTTAGCATAGTTAGCATTATGTTGCCTTTATCAACATGCTTACATTTTGTCCTCAAGGAGCCCTAGGCATCCCTGCTTGGTTGAGGTGCTGTCTTCTGCTGTTAGAAAAATGGATTGATGGTGACTCCCAACTCGCAGCTTTAGGGCTGCCCCAACGCAGATGCTTGCCAATGTGTGCACC